GGGGGGGGGGGGGGGGGAGGAGCTGTGACATTCAAGGAGTTGCCGATGAATTTTGTGTTGACAGTGGCGAGGATAGGGCGGTATCAATTTCACCCTGGGACGGGGGAGTGATTGACGACTAAGAGGGGGAACCCAGATTTTCATTGTTTTGATTTTTTTTGCTGACAAATCAATCGGGGATTTCGTTTTGCTATTATTTTTTTGAGATTTGCTTTTTTTGCATCAAATAATAGAAAATGATAATACATAATTGATTAATTATTAATTTAAAGGAAATGTTATTGGTTTTTAACAGCTAGTAATCGATTAATTAATCATTTTGAGTGTTTATTGTTTGATAAAAATTTAAAAAATCAGTGATTAATAATTGATAACTGGATATTTCATTAATGGAGTCAGTCATCAAAGAATTGTTAATAAATCAATTTGAGGTCTGGTTTTGTTATTATTTATTCAGAATTTATGTTTTTTTTTGTCATTTGCATAAAATAAGAAAAAATTATAAATAAAAATTTATTAATCAATAATTCATGATTGAATATTTAAGTAATGGACTCAGTCATCAATAAATTCTCCGATAAAATCGTTGATTAATTAATTTGTTTATCAGTTCTAGTTGGAGAAGTGGAATTTCTATTTATTCACAAATTTAAATTTGTAATTAAGAATTTATGGAGAAATCATCTCTTCTTTTTGCCTCGGCGATGCTGCGTCATTAGAACTTAATTATTCAGGGGATCAGATCATTAATTAGGCATATTTATCTTCATTGGTGACATTAATTTAGCTGAATTCAGCCGAAAAAACTTATCATTCATCAAATAATATTTTTGAACATGTATCATTATCTAAAAAAGTATAATTGAAAAATGCAATTATCTCTGAAATTTAACTACAAAAATTAATTAATTAATGGAGTAGATAATACACAACTTGATTGATTGATGTCCAAATCAGTCAATAAATAAATCAATTGACGAGTGAATTAATTATTGAATTAACTAATGGATTCGCGGATGAATTAACGAATTTCTTCATTCCAGAATTCTACATCTCAATTTAAAAAATCGGGAATATGTCTCTATTTTTCTGTATTATTTCACGTCATCAGAACTCAATTATCCTTTACGATCTGTCGATTAATTAGGCCCATTCATCTCCTTCAGTAATAAAAAAAACTGTTGAATTCCGTTAAATATTCAATTATAGTTAATCGATTCATCTCGTCGAATCTTTCCGGAATTGATCAACCATCATAAATAATCAATGAATTATTCAGTGAAACTGGGTGTTTAACTCTTAATATAAAAAAATAATGAGAGATTAATTTAAACTTTTCTATAAAAAAACTATTAATTAGGAATAATAACTCTGACAATTGATTTTATAATTCAAACTTCACAACTTTGTTCACAAATAACTGATAAACAATTGTCCACGGCATTTAATTCACTTCAGTTAATAACGAAATAAATTAAATAACGATTAAACTAATTATAATTAAATAATTGAATTCAATTTAGCCTTCAAAATATCTTAAACATGCGGTAAATGAAATTGTTTAATTTGTAAAAAGGTAAAATAATAGAAAAATGATTGTAATTAACCGCAAAAAAAATGTTCATTTCATCGAGCAATTAATGTCACGGTGAAAATGGATTAACCGTCCCACAATGAAACCAATTGTTCCCCTTGACATGGACGACCGATAAAACCATTAAATCCTTGCACTTTTACTATTACCAGCAGTTTATGCCGTTTTACATTCCATATCCTTTGTCATGAGGGGGAGGGGGAGG